CGTGTCTGGTCACAAATTTGGTGAGAAGGTCGATGCAGGGGAGTCACAGAGCACCGTTGATATCTTATAAATTATGGCAATGTCAAGGGTTAGAGGACGAGTGTAAGCAGCAAATGGCGAGAGGGGAAGGCGAAATAGGATACAACCAAAGTGGCCCATTTCTCTTTTCATTTTTACTCGCAATCTCAAGCCAAATCGCTCGAAGTCCAATTTCCATGAGTACCTCGCCTCATCATTGAAACCGAGAAGCAGACGTGCCAAGTTTTACAAATGTATGTTGATAATTTAACTGCATTTTATGCAGGGTGAGCATTTTCTGCCCACCTCCACCAATACTTCATTGCCACCCATGTTAGTACTAAAATAGCATGGTTTTGTATGTGGACTACACAGCAAATCATCACAGTACAACAGGCAACAAAAAGACTGATAAAACGCAAACTCCATTCAGCCTGCATGATGAAATTGACAAAAGAAAAATTAAAAGGAGCGTAGGTGATAAACTACGTGATTGTGGCCTCTGTCATTCAAATAGCAAAAAAAATTATTATTATTTTTAGGTACTTGAAACTTTAGTGCTGGATAAACTCAAAACTATTCACTGTCGTTCCCGCAAAACATTACCAGATGTACAGCAACACTCACTCTACCGGACGATTCATGTTTGCCATGTAATAAGAAAGACAATTCACTGCGACATTTTGAGCTTTAGGATGACATTGTCACGCATCCACGTACCAAAATAGTCTTCGAAACAGGAGCAATCGCCAATTCTTAGAACAAACCTAGATGTTAATAATGATTACTAATCACTATCAAACAGCTGCAATATTTGGCTTGTTTGTTTAGCTGCGTTTAATTATTCAGGTCACCTAAGTCTCGGCAGATTGTACTTCTGCTTGATGGCATGGCCTTCGGACCACATCAGTAGCGCCTCAGTCCTTCTGTGCGTGATTGATGGATTTTCTCCCAGTTTCCTGCATGTTACAACCACGTCACTCTCACTAGTTATTGCAATGAAAAGGAGGCAATTTGGTGCTTTGGATAGTTGTCCGTTTTCTGTGCTCCAATCCTTCCCACACCACATGTAATGGTCACCTTGTGATCGCGTTTCGTTGACAGCGTCTTTCCACACGTGCAGTTGTTGCTGGCCCCTCAGTCGTGGTTGGGCACCTCGCCCCTCTCAAACATCCTGATTGGTTGTGTGGAGTGAGGACAACCGAGGCGCACGTGTGCTCTTGCAGCAGCTACCCACACGATCGGTGCGCATGCCTGTTCCAATAGCCGCTAGCTCTTTCACCTCGTCGTGCAATTGGGCAATTTTGTCAAACCCTACTTCCATTCCTTCGTTGCATTTGGACGAGAATCAAAGTCAACTCTCCTTCTCTCATTGCTGTCACCGGCATCTTCCGAATGGTAATTTGTTGCATCACAGATTGGAAAGGGTGCTAACTTTCACGACGTTTTATCATGGAGTTTTGTTGTGGAGGCTTAGAATGATGCGTAATTCGTTGTCTTCACAAGAATAAATTGCCACGACTCACACACAGGCAAACACTGTTCACTAATGCAACAGAGCCTATCAGCTTACTTACTAAGCAATGGATT